GAGTCAAGGGGACTCTTAAACACTGCTATGGTGATGAAAACTGTAGTCTATAAAACAGTGTACAAAATGGGCATTACTGTGTGAAGCTCAAAATGTTTATATCCTGTGTAGCTGTATTATCACTACTGAGTCTGTCCCTAGAAAAATGCTTAGACATGTGTCCTCTAGGGCACATATAAGAATGTCTAGTACTGCATTGTTGGTAACAGCAAAGGACGGAAAACAACTGATGTATCCATACACAAGAGAATGGATAAATAAAATGTTGTATGTTTATATAACGCGTTTCACAGACAATGAAAACACACGAACTACCACATACTACACGTGGATGAGTACTACACGTGGATGTGGAGACAGTGTGGATAAATCTAACAGTCATGCTTTGAGTAAGAAAGGGTACTTGCAGAATACCAACTATCATTTATTTAACTTTAGAAACATGCAATAATTAATACATTCTTTAGGCACCTATCAATGTAGAAAAACATAGTAATGATAAACATAAAATTAGAAGGGTGGTTATTCTTGGGAGGGCGCCGTCCAGAGGAGTGATATGTAATAATGATTTGCGTCCATTCGATCCAATGGTGGTTGCATGGGTGTTCACTTTTATCTTTGCATGAGATTATCTTATTTTGTACAACAAAAACGCTTTAATATTCTATTTTTAGTGTGGTAGAATGAATAAAATTTAATGGTTTAACCAATGTCAAGGGTACAGCGCTGTGGCACTAAGGACATCGCCCTCGTTGTGCAACCAGTCACTACTGTCCATCGCCAGAACTTTTTCATCATCCCAAACCGAGCTTGTGGTGTCATATCCAAAAAAGTCATGATCAAGGCCAGTATCGTGAAGCTTGTGCCCTATGTTTTTTTCTAAGAATTTTACAGTTTTAGCTCTTATGCTTGGGTCTTTGATCCATTTTGAGTTGATTTTCATATATGGCGTAAGGTAAGGGTTCGATCTCCTTCTTTTGCATGACGTGTAACCCATCTTTAAACAGAAAGAAAAGAATCAGACTATTAGCTCCGGACGGGACCCTGTCCGTTTGCAAACGGAGCCACTGGAATGGAGCTCAGACAACGAGCTGAGCGCACCCAGTCGGCTGAAGGCAGCAGGGGGCTAGACGCCAGATCCGTCCACCAGCCCAGCTCCCAGCCGGAGTGGGAGCCTACCGGGTAGGCGTAGTAAGAGGATTAAATGAGTTAACACGTACTCGTCACTTAGCTTGACGCCTGGGTCATAGCAAGTGCTCAGCGAACCTAGGAGATGAGGAGGAGGAGAGGGCCCGGCCACGCCTTTTAGACTTGGGGGCACCGGCCCCCCCCTCCCCGTTCCCGAGGGGGCGGGCCCTCGCGGCTTCGGGGCTTCGGAGAACTTGCAAACAGGCGACGCGGGTGGGAGGAAAAGCCAGGAAACTCTGACAGCCTAGGGACCGTCGGCGGCCGGTCGTAAGTCCCGGACTCCGGCTCCGTGGCGGTGACTCGGCCAGGCCTGGTTTTCCCTCACGCTCCAGGCCGGGGCGGAGCCTGGAGCCCGCCCGGG